GTGTGTGTGTGTGTGTGTGTGTGTGTGTGTGTGTGTGTGTGTGTGTGTGCAGTGACCCTAGCGCCTTGCACACGGGCGGGCGGTGCGTCTCTATCGCTGAGCTACGCCCAGCCTTGCATCACATGTCTTAATGCTTAATGTGCAGAAGGCTACGGCAGGCTGATGGCCTCTTCCCCAGGCGTTTCACTGCTGTGGAACTTGAAAATCCACTTGTTTGGCTTCAAGAGAAAGTCTGTCCACATTTCAGTTAGGATTACACTAAAGGTTTCTTCACTCTGGAGAAAACCGCTGCCCTGATCATATTTAATACTTTCATTTAGGAAGTACTTGTATTTTTAAAGCCTTACTTTTTTTTTTCTTTTTCCTTCCCACAACAGGGTCTTCTGGGTACCCAGTCTGTCTCAATAGGCTTTCTTCTCCTGACCCATGCTGGAATTACAGGTGTGCACCATTGTATGGGGCAAGCCTTAGTCTGGGGGATGTGGGGTGGGGTGGGGGAGGAATGAGAGCTTTCTGGATATTAGGCTAGGGCTTCACCCTTGAGCTGTGGCCCATGCTTCGAAGTGTCCCTATCAGCCATCAGTTTTACTTCCTGAAATTCTTTCTAGCCCCACCCCACCAGGCTGCAGACATCCATCTCTCCTTTATCCTGCACACTGGTAGTCCATTATCCAAGACAAAGCCTCCAGTGTCCCCACCCCTAGGGACATTCCTGAAGAGGTGGAAGGGACTCAAGATAAATAAGAGAAAGAGAATGAGGCTGATGCCTGGGGCGGCAGAGTGAAGCTGGGGAGGATTCACCTGTTGGCTGTGCTGAGGGCAGGAGGCAGGTGCTAGGGAGATGGGCGGGGTGAGGGATGCCCTTAGGTGGGAGGGGCCTCGGGAGGGGGCATGCCTCCCAGTGTCTGCAGGTGGGTGCTGGGCCCTCGGGCTATCCAGTAACTCAGGGAGCAGAAGAATGGGGCCCAGGCACTGGGCCAGCACTACTCAGAAAGACTTGAGGCTTTTGCAAGAATGAAGGTGAGAGAGGAAGCCTGGCTTGCAGGTGGCTAGGTGTGCGTGGTGGGGTAGAAGTTGGGGTGTGTGTGGGGGGCGCTCTCTCAGGTGTCGATTTGTACGACCCAGACCCCAGGAAGCTGTCCAGAGCTGGTTGTGGGGCTGAGGCCTTGCCCCAACCCTGGCAGAACCTGGGCAGGAAACCATAGAAGCCACTGAAGGCCCTGGGGGTTGGGGTGAGACAGCGCTGGCTCCCACCTCAGAACCTGGCGGTGTGAGGCAGGCGGTCCCAGCCTCCAGCAGCATGCCTCCGGCCTGATCCTCCTACCTCACCCTCCCGAATGCTGGGATTAAAGACGGCTGGTGGCCCCAGCTGCTCAGCGGTTCTCCATGTCCTTCAACATGGACACCGGTACACGTCGGCCCCTGGTGTGGCTTCATCAGCACTGTTAGGCATCCAGGACCATGCAGCAGTCAGTTTGTGCTCACAGTGCGCTGAAGTGCAAACACCTCAAAAACAACCCTGAAGAAAGTCCACCCGAGTTTCTGAAGCGAGGCCCGCAGGCTGGGGACTGGTCCTACCCACGCCCGCTAACACGGCGAGGTCAGCCACCCCTTCACCAGAGACCTCATCTGCCAAGGTAGCACTGTGTCCAGAAATTAGCTTCACAAGCCATTCCAGTACTGGTCTACAGAGAAAGCTCAGTTACACACGCCCAAGCCTCCAGGACGCCAGGCCTGCACCAGGAGAGATAAATAAACCACTAGACTGCACAGATGATGCCCAGCTTCTCTCAACAAAATCCTTTGTTGGGTGAACCATGAAGACAGAAGTCTTTGCTGTTTTTAGTTTTTCGAGTCAGGGTTTCTCTGTGTAGCATTGGCTGTCCTGGAACTCACTGTGTAGGCCAGGCTGGCCTTGAACTCACTTTTTGTTTTTTTTAACTTTTACTTTCATTACGAAATAGCTGCTAAAGCTATCAGCCACATTCCGAACTCAGGCTGGGGGATGGCAGCTGTTTCTTCCCCATCTTCCCCACGGAGCTCCAAGCAGCAGGCAGACTGCCTAGGGCACAGGTGTGAGCGGCCCCCTGGGCAGGTCGGGGTGGCCGTGACAGCCACGGAAAGCAGGTGTGTGGGCTCTAGGGATGCATCCCCTTACTGACAAAAGTCAATCTGTGGGAGAAGGGGACAGGCTTTGTGACTCACAAGACCTCCCAGTCACCGTGGGAAGAGGACAGTGTGGACCGCCCGGGGCCAGCCAGAGGCCGCATCCTCCTACTGGCCCTGCAAGTTGGTGCAAGCTTGTGTTCTGGCCCGTGGGGGGGGGGGGGGGGGGCAGGGTGCCTGTGGCAGGACATGGCCAGTGCTGGTCCCGGTGGCTGATCGGACATGGCGCTGCGTCACACTTGCTGTGAAGCTCTGCTCCACGCACCTTCACCAGGAGCCTGTGACTTGCGGCTGCAAGCGTCTCACGGCCAGGTGCCGCCATCATGCTCTCAGCCCATGCTCCCCGGGAGCCTTTGGTCACGGGTGCTGCTTCTGCTGTCTCTCCAGCTGCCAGCCAGGTGCTCCCAGGCTGCATGCAGACAGCATGCGGACACCATGTGGACAGCAGCTCGCACTCTCACTCTGACCCAGGCCCAGCTCTCCTGCTGTTGGACACACAGGTCCTGCCTGGCAGAGGTGCCCTCAGCTACTGTTCAAGAGTCAGAGTGGAAAGTCTGAGAACGGGGAAGGCGTGTCAGCATTGGCAGCCAGTCTGCCCTCTGCTCCAGTCACTGTCCTGGACGGGGAGTAGTTGGCTGTCCTGCCCAAGGTCACCGCAAGGTTGGCATCGCACCCTCACCTCCTCCGTCCCCTTTCCCACCTCGCCCACCTGCTCACGGCAAGCTCCTGCTGCTAGCCCCTGCTCCACCTCCCCCTGGACTGTGGCTCCTGATTGTTGCTTCCTGAGTTGTCCATCCCACTCTCTGGGAAACCATTCAGCCAGGGGACTAACCCCACTGAGAGCACTCTGAAAGCCACCAGTGATCTGTTCTAGAGGCAGAACAGGGGGACATGTTTGTGATCCTAGCACTGGGAGGGCAGAGGCGGGAGGGCTGTGGCCAGGTTCAAGCTAGCCGGGACTACATAGCAAGACACCAAAATCTAATCAAAAAGCGTCCCTTCTCAATGTGATGTGTGTTTGGGCTCCTCTTTGCTTCTTCGGGGCTGACACTTCCTCACTCTTTAAAGCAAGCAGGTGTAGATCCTGTAGTTCCTGTAATCCCAGCACTTGGGAGGCACAGGGTCACTGCAAAAGCAAGGCCAGGCAGAAATACACAGACAGACCCAGTCTCAAAAAAACAAAACTAACAACAAAAACATCAAACACACGTGATATACATAGTTGAACAATGAAAATAATTTAAGGTCTGTCCGTCCAGCCTAAGGAACAGAATGTCACTCCCGATTACTTCTGCAAAGAAGTTTGGCTCACACTGGCTGTGCCTGCTGCCTGTCTGGACTCTGCGCTGCTCTCCTGCCTTTGAGGCCGAGAGGTGCAGCTGAGGACCGATGGGTGAGTGGCTGCCAGGCCACATACGTTTGTATTTGGCTAACTCTGAGCTTTTCCTGAGGAGGGCCCCCGGGTGGTGACAGTGCTCAGGCATCTCCGTCACTGAGCACACCTCCACCCTCTTCCCAGCCTGTGCGGGTGAGTCCGAGCTTCCGAGGTCAGGAGGATGGCACTGGGCTGCAGAGATGGCTCTGCAGTGCGGCAGTGGGCATCTCCCAGCCTCCTCTGCCATCCGAGGCCTCCTTGAGAACCTGCTGCTCTGTCATTTCCTGGGTATGGGTTTCTTTGTTCTGTGTGTGGTTTGCTGGGCTCTCTGAAACCAAGTAGGGATATTTTCTAACAATTGTAGGAGTTCCTGCCTTCCGCTTCCAGGCCCACCCTCTATCTACCCTTCTTTTTCTCCTCTGTCCTGGGATGGCACCTGCGCCTGGCACCTGTGGCCTGTGAGCTGCTTCCCAGCCCATCAGGTTCTGCTTGAAGCTTCCTTAGATTTGCTTTCCTGCTATCTCATTCTTTGCTTTGTTTCTTGAAATGAGTTTCTCTGTGCAGCCCTGGCTGTCCTGGAACTCACTCTGTAGACCAGGCTGGCCTTGAACTCAGAGATCCACCTGCCTCTGCAGTGCTGGAATGAAAGGCTTACCCCCACCCCACCCCCCCACCCCCGTAGCTGGGTTGTCTCAGCACTGCCTAAGCCACAGGTGGTGGTACCTACCTATGACCTCAGCACTCAGGAGTTGGAGGCAAGAAGATTAGAAATTCAAGGTCATCCTTAGCTACGTGGGGAATCTGAGAACAGCTCTCTCTAGAGACATTGTCTTAAAAAGAAGAGTACCAATGTGGTGGCACACCTTTAATCCTAGCACTCAGGAAGGCAGAGGCAGGTGAATTACTGTGAGTTCAAGGACAGCCTGGTCTACAAAGCGAGTCAAAACTACACAGAGAAACCCTGTCATGAAAAAAACCAAAAAAAAAAAAAAAAAAAAAAAGAAAAAAAGAAAAAAAGAAAAAGCTGAACTCAGTGAGTAAAAGTACTTAAGGAACTGGCCACCAAGCCTGACGACCTGAGTTCAATCCTCGGGACTCGGTGAAAGAACTGAGTCAATTCCTGAACGCTGTTCTCTGCCCAGCACACACATGCACATAGCTGCTGGGGATATTGCTTAGTGGTAGAGCCTCTGCCGAACTCGCTCTAGGCCTGGATCCCTAGACAAAGACAATAAAGGTATGGTGCTTCTAACTTTGCCAGATACAATCTGATTGATGTCCACAGAGTACAGGTTCTTCCACCCCTAACTATACTGAGGGAGCACACACACGGACAGATGCACATACTAAACAGGCACATATACATGTATGTACGTACACATACATGCAGTTTGAATGTGAATGTCCTCTACCAGGCTCACATGTTTTACTACTTGGTCCCCGCTGGGACTGTTTGGAAAAGAGCAGGGGTGTGGCCTTGTGGGCAGGCTCTGGGGTGTCAGAAGCCTGCTGCACTCCTGGTTAGTCCCCCACTGCCTGGAGGATGTCGCTATGGCTTCGGCTGCACACCACGCCATGCTCCCACCGTGATGAGCATGGACGCTAAGCCGCTGGAACTGTAAGCCCGAGTTAAAGGCTTTCATTTATGAGCTGACTTAGCAGTGTTTGCCGTAACAGTGGGAGAGTAGCTGAGACAGTGTGTGTGTGTGTGTGTGTGTGTGTGTGTGTGTGTGTGTGTGTGTGGTTTAACAGATTTTTATTTTATTTTCGAGACGGGGTTTCTCTGTGTAGCCCTGGTCTATTCTGGAACTCAGTCTGTAGACCAGCTGGCCTTACAGTCAGAGCGGCAGCTGCCCCTGCCTCCGAGCGCTGGGATTCAAGGTGTGCGCCGCCAACAGTAATTGGTGCTGCAACAGTAATGCAGCAGGAAATTTTTTTTTTTTTTTTTGAGAAAGCAAACTCCTTTGGAAATTTCTGCCATTACTATTTCTACTACTACCTCCTCCTTCTCTGAGACAGGGCAGTGCTCGTGTGTTGGTGGCCCAGGGAAGCACTGCATTTCTGGACTCCTGTCGCGCTCACCTCAGAACTAATTTAACGTAGAGCAGCGCTAAAGCGCATGTCCACGGGTGCTCGCCAGCATCTTACTGGTAATGGCAAAGGGCTAGAAATGGCCTGGAGACAGCTGTGGGCAAACACGCCAGGACGCAGCCACACAGCACAGTGGATTGTGCCCGAGAGAAGGACCCAGCCAGGCCAACAGCGCAGACACCAGGGTCCTGTGCCACGTTCAGTGTCTCTGGCTGCGCGAGTTTTTATTTTTATCTTTTGACACAGGGTCTCTGTGTGTAGCCCTGGCTGTCCTGGAGCTCACTATATAAACCAGGCTGGCCTTGAACTCACTGAGTTCTGGATTAGAGGTGTACCCTCCCATGCCAGGCCTTGTGTGTTTTGTCTGGCTTTGATTTGAAATCAGTTTTTCTTCCTCTACCCTTGCTTGGTGGCATCCCAGGCAGTCCCCAAAAGCGAGCCTTGTGGAGAGTTTCCCAATATCTCACTGCAACCATCACTGGCTCTTCTCTAGAGAGGCAGGCCACCCACCCTGCTTCCAGCTTGTGGAGACGCAGACCTCGTGCCGGCGGCCCTGAGGGCAGTGATGCGGTGTGTGCGGGTCTGATCTGCAGGGCTGGCTCTATGACAGACGGCCGGGACAGTCAGGCGCATGCAGGAGCTTAGGCGCACAGCCCCGGAGAGCAAGAGGGCAGAAAGAAGGCACCAACCAACCCCTCACTTCAGAACGGTGCGGCCACACTGCCCCGCTCCCTCTGTGGGGAGCAATCAGGCAGGCAGGTCTCCTACCTGAGGCAGAGCCACCCTGGGAGGGCACGCCTGGAAGGCTGGATCCCAGGTCTAGCGGCCTCCAAGTGCCCTGCAGGGAACTGCTGGCCAATGGCGATGAGGTGTGGGTACAGCACCCGCTTTCCTCAGGGGCTGTCGGCGCCTGCGGTGCCCTTGGGGGCCTGTTCTCCTTCTGATCAGCTGACTTCCAAGTCTCTGCAGCTCTGTGGGGCTTCTGTAGAGGTAAGGGAAGAGTCATCTGTGATAGCTGCCCACCGCCAGCCTTGGGGCGCTGTAGCTCTCCCTGGCTGCGCCCATCAGGGTAGGGGGCACTCCTCAAGAAGGGGTGGACTCCTGGGGAGCATCCGGGTGCTCTGGGCACAGAACCCAGCAGCTGACGGACATCACCAGGCTCACCTGCGTATCAGAAGCCCAAGTGAGTCCAGAATAGAGTGTGGGAGCAGGGCCCTGAAGCTGCAGTTCCCACCAGGGCGAGGCCCCTCTGAGGTGAGCGCATGCCAGGTGTCCTGGCGTCTGCTCCCCCACCTGCCCCAGGACTCTAAAACGAAGCACCGATGGCAACTCCATGACGGCATCAGAGCATGTGACCTTCTGCAAGGCTCCCACGTGTTCATGTTCCCACAGTCTCCATCCTCAAGAGTGTGTGGTCACACCCGGCACCCCCAGAGACCACAGCACCCTAGCACCTGGCGGTACCTGAGCAGGCCTTGATGCTGTGCCTGCCTTTCGGCCTCGTGGGGAGTTGTCTTTGCTGACCGCTTGGGCCGAGTGGGGTTGACTTTTCTGTGCATATTCAGAAACACATTTTCTCTCAGTGTGCCTGGGGTCCTGTCATGAAAAGTCAAGAGAAATTCAGGAACTGATATCATTGGTACACAAGCTTTCTGACAACAGTAGAAGAAACATTCCCCAAATCCCGGGACTTTCTTCATTTGGTGTCAGCCTTTAAAGGAACGACCTGCTTGTTTTACTACACAGAACTAATTCAACCATCTTCCTCCAGTTGGCCAAGGTGCTTCTCGAGACCTTCTGGGGAAGGAAGCCCTGAGTTCCAAGCAGAAGTCTCTTCCCCAAGAGCAGGGTGGTCCTGAATGACACTGGCTTAGGTAGAGCCCAGCCCAAGATGGCGCATCTGGTCCCTCACTGGGCCTCTTTGCCCACCATACCATCTGAATGATTGTTTCTACCCATGCTCCACAGAAAAGTCAATGGAAAAGGAGGCAGGGGGTATCAAAGAACCACGCAAGGGGCATGACGGGAAACATGGAAAAGAAGACCGGCAGGGCTTGTGCCAAACACAATGGGTATGACAGGGTGCAGCTCCTCTGCAGCCCTCCAGTGGTCATGACCCACCACGTCCACTGCCCCCAGCTCTCTTCCCCTACCCGTTTTTACCCTATTTGCTTTATTTTTAAGTATGGCTAATTCATTTGTGTATGTTCTATGTGAGTTCTTGGTTTGTTTGTTTGTTTTTTAAAATACTTTATTTAATGTTACTTTATGTGTATTGGTGTAAGGGTGTCAGGTGCCCTAGAAACAGAGGGACACATGGTTGTGAGCTGCCATGTGGGTGCTGGGAACTGAACTTGAGTCCTCTGGAAGGGCAGCCAGTGCTCTTAGCCACTGAGACATCTCCCTAGCACCGTTGTTTACTTTTTCTTCCTTTTAAGACAGAGGGTCACTGTATAGCCCAAGTTAGTCTGAAACTCTCCACCCTCTTGCCTCATTCATCTCCAGGGCTTTCTCTTCTGGAGTTTAAGTTATTTCAGGAGCTGTAATAACTGTGGCAGTTTTGATGTGTGGAAAAAATTAACAGCTTAATATTTATTACTCTGGGAAGCAGTTGTACAACAGCAATTGATAGTAGGCTTGCTCACTTGACATGGGGAAGATTTCTTCTGACCAAACACATTTGAGAAGGAGGAACTACGACTAATACAAGTGGCTGAAAATTCCCGACTGCTTAGAGATGGAAGCTGCCCCAAGACCAAAGAGCCGCCCCCACAGGTCCATGAGCACATGCCTGCGCCAGCCCGAGGGGGAGGTGGTGGAGCACCCCCACAGCGAGCGAGGCTCCAAATGGGGCCTCCTTTCCGGGCTCTCTTCCTTCTCAATTCTCCTTTCCACTTTCCCTCAAGGAAGACTGGGCTGCTGGGAAACACCTGGGCTTGCCCTGCTTTCTCTGGCCAATCCTGCTCAGTTTCCTCTCAGACCAAACAACTGACCTCTGTGGGCTCCAGCTGTTCCCTCAGGCCTGTCTCCTGGGTGGCCTTGCCCTGTCCCTGACTCAGTTCTTCCCTTTGCTCGTTGTGTGTGGCCTCAAGCTGGCCCGGGTGTGAATGGAGAAGGAATGCCTCCAGCTTGCCCCTGGCAGCCCCTGGCCCCTCTTCCCCACGCAGCTGTGCAGCCTAAGCTTGATGTTCTTTGCTGGTGTCCCTGATGTTCATTTTCCACACTTGGGTTCTGACCCCAACCCCACCATGCCTCACAGCCTCAGTGGCTCTCAAACTAGTGATGGCTCAAAGCCTGCTGCTCCCCCCCTGGCTGGGAGTAAATTTAGACGTTGCATCATCCCTGGGCAAACACATCTCTATATGGCTTTCTTTTAACTTATTTTAAGTAAACTTTTGGTTTTGTTTTGTTTTTTAAGACAGGGTTTCTCCGAACTCACAGTGACCCGCCTCTTCTGCCTCCCTGAGTGCTGGGGTTACAGGCGTGCGCCACTGCACCCAACTTCTTTTAACTTATCTTAAGTAAACTCAAAAGACAAGTTCCTGTGGGAGAATGTATTTGCAGTTATTCAATAAATATGAATCAGTACTGAGGTTCCAAAAGTGATTTTCATAGCCTTAAAAGAGCTGATGACTTGTAGCTTAAAATCTGCATTCAGCTGGTCCAGAGACCTGCAGCTGCTGCACTTTAGGAGCCCGGGCGGAGGCTGCCAGCCTCTGCCTCAAAAGCCAGGAACCCCGGCCATGTACACACACGGCCCCAACGCCCAGCTGTGCTGTATTCATCAGGCCGTGGTGGAAAGTTGTGGAAGAACAAAGCAATGTGAGCAGCCCGTGGCATCCCATGAGTGACCGAAGCCTAATCAGGTCAAAGGAATAAAATGGCTGGAGCTGACATTTTAACGTTGGGAGATGAAGCCAGGACCTCATGCATACTACACATGTGCTCTACCACCGAGCCACACCCCAGTCCTTGACCACAGCTGCCACGCCTGGCTATAACAAGTTTAGGTGGTGGCACTCGCCTTTAATCCCAGCACTCAAGAGCTGAAGGCAGACAGAAAACCATGAGGCCTGTCGTCTACATTGTTTCGGGCCCTTCAGAGCGACAGAGAAATTGTATCTAAACAAATTGCTGCATACACACATATGTCTATATAAAGTATGTACATATTTATATACATATCTGGGTTTTTAGACAGGGTTTCTCTGCGTAGCCCTGGCTGTCCTAGAACTCACTCTGTAGACCAGGCTGGCCTTGAACTCACAGAGATCTGCCTTCCTCTGCCTCCTGAGTGCTGGAATTAAAGGCATATGTCACTATTGCCCAAAACCAAGCTTCAGTTTCTGCTTTTCCTCCCCAAACTGCTTTTGCTCATGTTTTATCACAGTATACAAAGCAAACTGACTGACATAAATTATCAGGATGGCAGTTATCGCTAAGACAGGCGGGACTACGCTGTGCTGAGAAAGGCTGAGAAAAGGTCTGGACCTTTGAGCTGGAAAAGCCATTGAGTTCTCAGAGTTTAATGAGCTGTTGTGGGAGCTTGGAAGGAAAAACACTGAGAGTGCAAGGTGTGATGGCACACACCTTTAATCCCAGCACTGGGAGGCAGAGGCAGGCGGGTCAAAGTGAGTCCAGGACAGCCAGGGCTATGCAGAGAGACCCTGTCTAGGAAAATCAAAAGCAAAACTAAAAACAAAAACAGAAAAAGAGAACAGCATCATAAATTAGGTGAACTCTTCTGGGAAGGGTTTCATTAGGGCCAGCTCAGAAGCTGTGGCTCCGAAGGCCAAGGCTGCATCGGGTGAGAACCTCCCCTGGTTTTGGCAGTTTTTGAGAGCTGTGGGATCAAAGGGTCATGGGGAACAGATGAAGCTTGGCCTGTGGGAGGCCATGGGTAAGGTGCAGCCTCAGTTGCAGTGAGAACCTCAGGCCTGAAGGGTCGTGCAGAGCTGAATTGACAGGAGGACACAGGGGTAGGGGTAGAGTCCCTAAGGTCACTGAAGATGCAGCCTAGTTACCGTGGAGATCCCAGGAGATCATGTATGCCAGGGCTGCAGGGTGGCGCCAAGGAGAGCGCAGGTGTGGATGGAGCAAGCCTGAGCCTGAGAGGAGCTCGGTGCTGCCGATGGCAGAGCTGGGCGGTGGAGCTGCCCAAGTCCTTTGGAGACCATAGATGGTGAATGAGTGAGTCCTCGATAGGGACACTGAATTATTTGCCCTGTTGGAGTTTGGTTTTGTTTTGATGTGACTGTAAATGCCCAGGCTCTTCACACTTAGAGTAAAATAAGTCTTTAACTTTTTTTACTATTTTATTTTTACAGGATCCAACAGTTGAAAGACTTTGGATTTTTAAAAAAAGATTTTTGAACTTTTAGTGTTTAAACTTTTTGTTTTATTTTCTTTTCCCTTTTCTTTTGTTTTTTTTTGGGGGGGGTTGTTTTGTTTTTCTTTTTTAAGACAGGGCTTCTCTGTGTAGCCCTGTATGTCCTAGAACTAGCTCTGTAGACCAGGCTGGCCTTGAACTTACAGAAATCCACCTGCCTTTGTCTCCTGAGTGCTGGGATTAAAGGCGTTCACCACTCTGCCATGCTGAAGCATCTGCATTTTTGTTTGTTTTGTGTTTCAAGAGACTGGGTTTCCGTGTTTATTTACTAACAGCTATTAAAAAGAACCCAGAAGTATGGCTCAGTGTTGGTGCATCGCTACTGCTGTGTCAAGCTGATAAGGGGTGAATGGTGGTCAGTTTTTGTCAACTTGACACAGGCAGGAGTCAGGTGGCAAGAGGGACCCTGAGCTGAGAACACTCCTTCAGGTTGCCTGTTCGCCAGGCTGTGGGGCATTTCCTTCACAAGCGGTCGATGTGGCGGGTGCTGCCCACCCCACTACGGGGAGTGCGCCCCTCGGGCGAGGGGTGCTGAATCGGACAGGACAGCCAGCTGGCAGCTGGAGAGCTGGCTCAGGGGTCACAAGCTCGCTGCTTTCCTGGAGGACCCAGGTTTGAACCCCAGCGCCTACACGGTGGCACAGCGCCATCTCTAACTTTGGCTCCAGGGAGGGCGTGTAATGTCTCTCCTGGTTTCCACAAGTATCGGGCATGCACACAGCGCAGACAAACATGCAAGCAAACCACTAATGCATATAAAATACAAACAAATTAAGAAAACACACAAAAAACTAGCTAGCTGAGCACGCCACGAGAAGCCAGCCAGTAAGCAGAAGTGTGACTCGACTTCTGCTTCAGCGTCTCCAGGTTCCTGCCTCGACTTCACGAAGGACCATGACTGGGATCTATAAGGCAATTAAGCCCTTTCCTCACCAAGTTGCTTTTGGTTCTGGTGTTTTGTCACAGGACTGGAAAGTAACCTGAGACAGATCCCCTGGAGCTCCAGTCAGTTCCAGGAGGCTGTGGGCTGCCTGGGAGACAGACAGGGGCTCTGGAGGAGCGACAAGTAGGTGGCTACTGCGGCAGATCTCCAGTCCCAGGACATTTTTATTAAAGATACAAATTTTAAACTTCACACTGGTGAAGGCTGAAAACGTAATACCCACATGGGCAAAGCTAGTAAAACCACATGCACATCTGTTACTTAAACCGTGAACAGGTACAGGAGCCAGCATGGGAGGGTGCTGAGCAGGAGGACCCAGGGTCAAGCTTGCCTGGGCTACACAGTGACTCTGTCTCCAAAACCAAGTGAAAGGCGAAGGGGCAGGCGGAGTATGGCGCTTCCGGCGCCGTGGGGCTCTAACGAGGAGCTTTCCTTGCTGCCGCCTGCAGTTGGTGTAAGGAACACCACACTGGCGCTCAGGAAAGGCTCACACAGATTTCGTAGGTGCAGAGGTTACCTGAGCTGTTGAGTGGAGCTGCAGTTGTCCCAGAGGCGGGCGGTGGCCTGAAGGCTTCTCAGGCACTTCCAGGGCGTCCTGGGGCTCAGAGGTGGGAGGAGGTGGGCCATGAGGCAGGTTCCCTGGAAACAGGATCAGGAAAGGGTTGGTTCCCCATGTTCGTCACACATAAGAACAGCACACTAAGATGGGCGGTGGGGCACAGCTGTAATTCCAGCACTTGGGAAGCAGAGGCAGGAGGAGTTCAAGGCCAGCTTGGTCTACTGATAGTTCCAGGGCTACAGAGAAACCCTGTTTCAAATAACTTGTGTGTGTGTGTGTGTGTGTGTGTGTGTATATGTGTGTGTGTGGCAACAGAAAACTATTTTTCA